TAAAGTTCGTTAAAATATTCAAATAATCGGATCGAATCAGGAAATTAAGAAATTTTGAAGGATGATAGAAGGGGGTTAATAATGTTATTTTTAAATGTTAGAATTTAACACGGATCATTGGATTTAAGTTGTTTTCACTATTAAATTGGGACTATTCAATTAAAGTGACTAAATTGGAATTCTTAGAAAAGTGCAAGGGATAAGATGAAAATCAATAAAATAATTGTTGATATTTGTTATGATGATGTAAGAATGGTGATACAAGTATGATGTAGCATGGAAATGTGGTAATTATCATTATTTTTAAAGGGTAGAAAGGACTTTTGGACTAAAATGAATTTTAAATTCATTTTAATTAGTTTTAAAGATAATTACAAGGTTTTCTTTTGTTATGAAAGTCAAAAACTCTCTATTTCCTTTTTCTTGTTGTCGTTCTCCAAGGTGAGAAAAAATATTTTTCATTTTTAAGCCATTTTAGTTGGTTTTTGAATTAAGACATGAAACAGAAAAATAACCTACATCAAATTCTTTACAAGTTGGTGTAAATATTTCATGTTTTCATCCTTGGAGTGATTGATTGCATGAATTGGATGGTTATAGGGGCAGTTGAATTATGATGAGTTAAGGAATGATTTTTATGTTGCTGGGGTTGTAAAATTGTTTTCAAGCATGTATGATGATTAAATCAAATGGAAATGCATAGAGAAGAATTTGGTCATGACCTAGGGTTTATGGAAAAAATCAATTGAGTTGTTTTTTATAGGGATTTGAATGGAATTACATGGAAATAATGTTTAGAGCTTGAATCCATGCTTGAATTAAGTTGAAATTCCTCCTAGGACTACTTTCATGAATTCAACCAAGATGAATGAAATTAAGAAAAATTATACAAGGGTTAGAAATGATCTAAATATGATTCTACAGGCTTTGGGAAACCAATTTGTAACGTTGTAAAGTTATAAGGATATTTTCACATACTTTGATAAATTGAATGATTAAGATGTAAATATTTGAAAGTTGATGTACTATGCTGAAATTTAATGTTATAAAGTTCAATTGGATCAATTTGGAAGGTTGTACAAGTTTAGGGACCAAATTGCAAAGTTTAAAGAAGTTAGGAATTAGATAGTAATTAAGTAAAGGTTGAGGTACTAGTTTGGAAATATTGTAAGAATGTTAAACATGGTGATTGATATGGAATTATGTGAATAACAAAGGACCATTTAGGAATTTTTTGAAGCATTGAGATAAATTTTAAAGAAAGGTTTATTAGTGGGTTAAATGTGAAATTGTAAAAAATTAGGCGATTGATTGTTAAGAATTATTATGAGGACTTGGAATGTTATTTTGAAGAAGTTAAAGTTAGATTTGATTAGGTGAAAGAAATTAGTATCAAGAATCTATTAATCATATTTTTTAGAATTTTTAAATGAATACATGCTTATTAAGTTAGTTAGAATACTAACATATGTTTTGAAATTGTATGTGTCGGGTAAATGATTATCGTGTAGACCGTGACTGAAAAAAGGCCAAAGAGAGTTAAAAGGAAATGACAAATTTCGAGAGTGAAATCGTTATACACAGTATGGCAGTAATAGAAATGAGGCATCATGTTAGTGCATCTATACTTATTATTTAATATAATATAAATAAAACTTGTGATGAGTAAACCTCTATTTATTCGAAAAGAATAGTTTAAAAATCATATTTCAAAAATATATTTTAATTATTGTTTTACTCTATGATATTTGGATGATTTTGGGCATGAATTTCCCAATGAACAGTTTTCATGAGATTTATATTTTATTTGTGCATTTGAATGCTTTGACATGTGAAATGGTATACAAATGATTTTGGGTATGAACTGCCCAATATTAATTTTTACGAGACTTTGATAAATTCCCTATGGTTGCTTTTATATGTGAAATGGCATATCGTATGTGAGTTTAATAAGAGCCCAATGTATGTGACTTGAGTGTTAGTGGTACAATTGCCATGCCATAAGTGGATTGTTATTGATCGATCATACATAGGTTCATTCGTGTACATCAATATTATGGGATACATTTATGTATTCTGGATCATGGGTACAATGATGCTGTGTTCTACAATACTTGTAAATTTATAGGGAACCTATGGTGCAATTCATTGACAAGACATTCTTTATGCAATTTATTCACAGGAAGTTATATTGCACACAGCATAGAACACTCAATCATAGACTCGGGTACTGTGCGTTTTCATGATAAATATCATATATGTTCATGATAAACATCATATGTAATGATCAGTGATCAATACATTTTATATTTAAACTTTGAGATATTTAGAATATGTCAAATATATGATGAATGGCATTAATATCTTGCCAACATAATCAAGGTAGACTTATGGCAAGTCCTACCCAATGATGTATAAAACATCCATGTATAAGGTTATGCATGCATTTTACTCATTTTGACATTATATACAAGTCAAAATATAAGCCTCACTAAGCTTTAACTTGATCATTTGCTTCTACTTTGGTTAAATCGCAAAATTTGTCATAATTTCATATCCGAGCAGTTTGTACTACCTTTAAAGAAATATTATTTTGTATTAATACACACCTTTAAAAATTATTCCATTTATACCTTGGAAAATATACTCAAATAAAAATCTATCCATATAAGGAAACCCTTCTATTTCAATTTGTACAATTTACAGTGAATTTTCAAAGTTGACCGACAAAATCTGTTTTGAGCAGAATCTGCTGCCCCATTTTATGACCTATTATCGGTTAAAAATTCATATCTTTTTGTATATAGCTCAAAATATATTTACGTTTTTTCTAAAACAATAGACTGATATAAGAATCTAATAGTATAAAAACAATTCTCTAATCTTTTTCTTATAATTTATGGTGCTTTTCTAAACTTACTGTCCATAACATAAATTCTATGAAAATTTAACCAATTTGCATTTCAACTTGTTCACTAATTCTTTTAGCTCGCCTAATGCACATATATGCATACATCACAAATCACATAACATTTTAGGAGTCATATATTGCCATAGTAACTCCGTCACTAGCTCATCGCAAGCCAATGTTTGTTCGATAACATAAGTATAAATTAAGTTTGCACTCACCTGGTGTCCTTAGCTTGCAACATTCCTTGGAATTTCCCATTTCATAATTAAGCTTCTCCTTATATTTAATAATAGTTGATATTGATTTCAAGAACTCAATCTAAATGAACATCATTATCAAACATATACAAATTCAAACCAAATGTTAAAATCTCACTAACATAGGCATACTTTGGAAAATAAATTCCTAACGAATTTTCTGATGCTTATTCGATACAATTTCCATGTCATAACATAAATGTTGACCTTAATATTTCAATTCAAGTTCCGTTTTATCCCAACTTCACATAACATTTTCACTTAAGCTCCCAACCTTTCCATATTTGTGATTTAAACCTCAACTTTTACAAGCTTTCTAAAATAATCCAATTTCACATCATAACTTCAATTTCAACACTCAAACATTAATTTCCAGCATAGTACATCAAATATTGAACAATTACACAACAATCCACAACTTTTCCAAAATTATCGATTTGGTCCCCCAATTTTTCAAAAATTATAGAATGGTTCCTAATTTTTTCCAAGGCATGTAGAATACTTCCTACATCATATCCAATCCTTACATAATTTTTCCAAAAAATTTTCTCATCCATTTAAGCCAAGGCCAAATAATTCAAAGCTCCAAGACTAGGATTTTCATGATTTTGTTCATTTTGATTCGATTCAAACATGAAATCAACTTTGATTCAACGATGAAATCAACTTTGATTCAACCTTATACAATCTCTAAAATCAAAGCCCTAACTTAATTTCATCAAAACACATCTTTCCCCTGAAGCTAGAGTTTGGCCGAAACTTTATATGTTCATATGATCATGTATAAGTGATTTTAATCACCAATCATAATTGGAAATGATTCTACAACCTCAATAACATCAAAATCCTTCATCAAATCCATAAACCTTAATGTGAACATAAACCCTAGAATTTGGGATCTTTGAACACAAACCAAATTAACAAAATAATAATGGTACCAAATGATAGCGTTTTTCGAATAGAACAATTTTCTATTTCACAACATAATCCAAAATCCATAGAAAATTGCTCAAAATGAAAAATAAAAATTATCTTATCTTGTTCATGGGGAGCACAAAATGTTGGCTGAAATGACTAAGTTTTCATGAAATTTCTAATGAATTTCATGTTAATTTAACATTTATTTATGCTTAAGTGAATAAAATATTCATTTAATGAGAAATGTCCATTTTGCCATTAATGAAACTTGATATTTACAATAAAACCAAGCCACATAACTTTATCATCTTTCCAAATTCAAAGATGAACAAACTATTTTACCCTTTTCCAATTTATCAAGTAACTTTCCAAAAATTGCAATCTTGCCACTTTGATCCAACAATCTAAATTAAACATGGAAATAAATCTTCAAATACAATGATCCATTTATTTTCCATCATTTTAAAATGTGGAAACAATATTTCTAAGCTTGATTTAGCATCCTTCAAAATTTTCCCAAAATTTCTAGTTGATCTGATTTACCGAAATTTTACCGGACTTTAACACTTTATAGTTTTTAACACAATTTTCATATCAAGAATCTGATTTCAACAAAACCCCATTCTCAAGAGTAAAATATCAATTTATGGAATAAAATTCTTTTTGGTAAAATTAACAAATAGGTCCCTAAACTTTTCCTAATTTTTAACTTTGGCTATAAAACTTTCAAAATTTACATTTTGGTCACTAACCAAAATTTTGGGGTATTACAATTCTCCCACTTAAGAAAATTCATCCTCAAATTTTTAATACATACTTGATGTAAATAGATAAGGATATTGATTTTTCTTATCTTGTTTTTTTTCTTTCGATTAGTTTTTTCAACCTTTGATTTATATATCGAATTATTATAAGTACTGGATCTTTTTCATAAGTCAAATATTTTTGAATTTCTATTTCCTCTGGGGTGATAATATGTGAATGATCTGATTGATACTTCATGAGCATCGACACATGAAAAACATTATGGATCTTATCCATTACTGGAGGTAATTTTAGCTAATAAGTTATTGATCCAACTTTCTTTTACCTTTTTTAATAATATTATAAGATCCAATAAATATCATACTCAACTTCCCTTTGCGTCCGAATTGAAATACTTTTTTTCCAATGTGATAATTTAAGAAATATTTCTTTATCACCTTCCTGGTATTCAATATCTTTTTTCTCAAGTCTGTGCAAGACTTTTGTCGATCAATAACTATCTTGAGATTATTTCAAATGATCTTTTCCCATTACAAGGTCCATTGTAACTCGTTCCTATTCTCAATAAGGGATAGAAATCTGTTACAATAATTCAGAAGGCACTTGATACTTAACTTTAACTCACTGACATGTCATCCATTTAGAAACAAGCTCGATGACAACTCTTTTCATACTTGTTTCTAAACTCTTTCCTCGATAATATAAATATTCATTAATCTTAACCTTAAAGTAATTAGTTTCACCTTCTTTGACAAGCATGACAATTTTTTCCTTTTCTCTGATTATCTTTTATTCGATCTGGCAACATATGCTTTAAATTTAATTCTACAATCAAAACGCGATCTTTCTTTAAAGGCAATCACACATTTAAAACTCTCAAAATATAAATGTCTTTCAACTTTATCATATCAGCTACCACATTAGCCTTTCATATTTATAGTTGATAAACACGTTATCATTCTTTAAGGAATTCAATCCATTTCTTTTCTTTTCACTCCTTCAAGCCAACACATACTTTTGACTTTTGAGATCCATATATATATAGCATCACTCACCATGTAGATAGTGGTATTATATTAACCAAGTAAACACAACTATTGCCAACTCGAGATCGTGAGTCAGATAACTTCTTTCAAGATTCTATAGTTTCTTTTAAGCATAATCCAAAAATTTTCCTCTTGTACGAACACACATCCCAAACCATTATGAGACACATTACTATAATTCACATAATTTTTTCCTGATTATGATTACACTGACGCTGAAGCTTATGTCAATTTTCTTTTAACATCTTGAAGTTTTCTTGGTTCTTAACAGTCCAAATGAATAACACGTCTTTCCTCAATAGCTTGGTCAGAGGAAATATAATCATCGAAAAGTTTTTTATGAACCTTCGATAGTAACCAACAAATCCCAAAAAACTTTTAAATTCAAAAACATTCTTTGGAATTTATCATTCGACTATATGTCGTGCTTCTTTGATATATATTCTTATCCCGTTAGCTGAGTCCACATGGCCAAGGAATACAACCTCAGACAACCAACATTTACACTTGGTCAACTTAGCATGAAATGTTTCTCCTGAATAGTTGGAAGAGCTATACAGAAACAAACATCGTGTTCTTCCCTGACCTTACAATAGATCACCATCAATGTATACTACCACCAATTAATCCATGTATAACTAAAATACTCAGTTTATCCAATCCATAAGTGTAGCATGAACATTCGTTAAACCAAGCGACATTATCTCAAACTCGTAGTGTTTATATTGAATTCTGAAAACCGTCTTAGGAAGATCTTCTTCCTCATCTTTAACTAATAATATCCCGATAGAATATCTGACTTGGGAGACACCAATGCACCTTTTCAACTGATCAAAAGATTATCAATCCTCAGAAGAGGATACTTGTTCTTCTTTGTTACCTTATTTAACGGACGACAATCCATGCATAATTGCATAGACTCGTCTTTCTTTTTCACAATAACACTGGTGCATCCCAGATGAGACGTTTAGTCTTATAAATCCCCGATCTTAATAATTCTACTACATATGCCTTTAATTTTCTGAGTTCAGTTGAAGCCATTCGATTCGGCTATAAAAATAAATGCAATACCTAATAACATCTCTATTTAAATTTTTTCATCTCAATCTAGAGGTAATCCATGTAACTTCAACAGTTACACATTTGGATACCCTAGAACAATTGGAATATATTCTAACTTAATTAAGAAAGTTTGAGTATCCACGTCTTTTAGTAAGAAGGTTTAACAACTTAGTAGCAATAACTTTATAGTAATTGATGCTAAAATCACATTAGAAAACAAATTTACTCTTTTTCCTACCAAAAATATCTCGAAACTTTTTGAGTTCTATAAAATTCAATCGCTCTAAGTGATAATTGATTGCAACATGGTAGGGCTAATCAATTCATTCCAAAAATTACCTTCGAAAGGTAATTCTATCAATTCTATTATAAATTAACATGTTAAATCCTTACCAGGCAATTATTGTCTACTAATAGGATTCACCATCGCACTCTAGACAAAAAGGCTAATCACACACATATCATTTAGGATCAATTGAAGCAAAACGTTTCATTCTTTCATCAATACTCTACTTATGCATAAATGAGGGTTTTCCTTAATCCAATATTGGCACTTCCTATTGTGCCAATACATCATCTTATTTGATTAAACAGTAGAATGATGGTTAACATCATTACTATCACTATTAGCTTATTTTTGAAACTCCTACTCGATCACATTCTTCAAACCCCATAATACACATCTTCTTCATACACAATATTTATTCACCTTTATAAGTAAGAGTGACATCAATCGAACCTTATAATCACCAAATCAATATCAGTGACATCCTAGTGGCATGTATACACTTTTAACTCAAAACAAGCTCAGATTAGTCCTAGAATCGGCTAAACCTGTAGCTCTGATACCAATAAATGTAACGCTCATAACCTGTATATGCAAACCAATACGAGTTACTGATGTCACATAAGAAATTCAAAACATTTCTTTAATTGAACTGAGTAAAAATTTTGTTTCATTCAAACATCTCAAGTTTCATAACTTGAATAATTATTATAAAATAATTATTTAGAGAAAAACATAATATTTATTTATACTATTAATTATATTTAATACTAACTATATTAAGAAATTAGTGGCATTTCATTGTCGTGTACATGCCAGCTAGAACTTTTAGAACACAGTAGGATGTCATCATTGTTACCTGTAAATATTTACTTTTTGATTGATGCCAAGCTCAGCTCCTTACTCCTTTTCTTCCTTTTTCCTACGCATGAAAATCATCACATGCTAAATATAAACTTAGTGAGGTAACCATAGAAACATTCAAGGCAATGCAACACATAAATGTCAACTATAATAATATTCAATGCATTATGGTCACTTTACCTGTATTTCCGATCATGCTACTAATATGAACATGATGTGAATCATATATAAATTTCTTACCAATATATTTTCCATTTATTCCATAAGCTCAACAGCGTATTCACCTGTTTATCATTTTTTAATCAATAAACCATAGCCCAAAGTATAAATGTATGAGGACCCCAATATAGGAGTCAAATATTGCACTGTAGTGCTGAGATCGAGCCTTTCTCACCTTATACACCATAGTGTTTTATACCGTGTGTCTTCGTTAGACACTTTGAGGCATGCACTATGTGCCTTCGCTAGACACTCGCTAGACACTCTAGTGCTACCAAATATGCAGCTGCTAGACTCTATGGCATGCCATTAATACCACTGACCCTAAATAACATACTTGAGCATATAGTCTATTTTTATTTGATCCATCCATGGCAAAGTGTATCAATACCATTTAACCTTTGGGCAGTTCATACCCGAAATATAATTCATGATAAGTATCATATATATTCATGATAAACATCATATATAATGATAAGTGATCAATGCATTTTATATTCAACCTTTTACATATTTAGAATATGTCAAATATATGATTAATGACATAAATATCTTGCCAAAGTAATCAAGGTATACTTATGGCAAGTCCTACCCAATGATGTATAAAACATCCATGTATAAGGCTATGCATGCATTGCACTCATTTTGAAATTATATACAAGTCAAAATATAAGCCTCGCTAAGCTTTAACTTGATCTTTTGCTTCTACTTTGGTTAAATCCCAAAATTTGTCATAATTTCATATCATAGCAGTTTTCACTACCTTTAAAGAAATATTATTTTGTACTAATATACACATTTAAAAATTATTCCATTTATACCATTAAAAATTATATTCAAATAAAAATCTATCCATATAAGTTACTCCTCTTATTTCAATTTTTACAATTTATGGTTATTTTTCAAAGTTGACCGGCAGAATCTACTTTGAGCATAATCTGCTGCCCTATTTTCTAACTATCCTCAGTTAAAAATTCATAGTTTTTTTTATATACCTCAGAATTAGTTTCTATTTATTCTAAACAAAACTATACTGATATAAGAATCTAAATGTATAAAAATTATTCTCTAATCATTTTCATAGCATTTATGGCAATTTTATAAACTTATTGTCCATAACATAAATTCTAAGCAGATTTCATCAATTTGCATTTTCAACTTGTTCACTAATTCTTTTAGCTCATCAAATGCACATATATGCATACATCACAAATCACACAACATTTTAGAAGTCACTTCTTACCATAGTAACTATGTCATTGGCTCATCGCAAGCTAATGTTTGTTTGATAACATAAGTACAAATTAAATTTGCACTCACTTGGTGTCCTCAGCTTGCAACCTTCCTTGGAATTTCCCATTTCTTCCTTAAGCTTCTTCTTAGATTTAATAATATTTGATCTTATTTCAAGAAATCAATCTAAATGAACATCATTATCAAACATATACAAATTCAAACCAAGTGTTAGAATCTTACTAACATAGGCATACTTTGGAAAATAAATTCCTAACAAATTTTTCGATGCTTGTTCGATACAATTTCCATGTCATAACATAAATGTTGACGTTAATACTTCCAATTGACCATTAAAGTTCCTTTTTTATCCCAAATTCACATAACATTTTCACTTAAACTCTCAATCTTTCCATATTTGTGATTTAAACCTCAACTTTTACAAGTTTTCCAAAATAATCCAATTTCACATCCTAACTTCAATTTCAACACTCAAACATTAATTTCCAGAATAGTACATCAAATATTGAACAATTACACAACTTTTACATAATTGTTAATTTGGTCCCCCAACTTTTAAAAAATTATAAAATGATCCCCAAATTTTTCTAAGGCTTGTAGAATACTTCCTACATCATTTCCAGTCCTTACATAATTTTTCCAAAATATTTCTTATCCATTTAAGCCAACTTCGAATACTTCAAAGTTCCAAGACTAGGGTTTTCATGATTTTGCTCGGTTTTGATTCGATTCAACCATGAAATCAACTTCGATTCAACCTTATACAATATTTATCAAAGCAGTAACTTAATTTCATCAAAACACATCTTTAGCCTAAAGCTAGGGTTTGGCTGAAACTTTATATGTTCATATGATCATGTACAAGTGATTTTAATCATCAATCATGCTTGGAAATGATTCTACAACCTCAATAACATCAGAATCCTTCATCAATTCCATAAAACCTAATATAAACATAAACCCTAGAATTTGGGATCTTTGAATAGAACAATTTTCTATTTCACGACATGATCCAAATTCTAAAGGAAATTGCTCAAAAATGAAAAATATAAATTTTCTTACCTTGTTCATGGGGAGCACAAAATATTGGTTGAAAATGGCTAAGCTTTCATGAAATTTCTAATGAATTTCATGTTAATTTAACCTTTATTTAAGCTTAAATGAATAAAATATTTATTTAATGAGAAATGTTCATTTTGTCATTAATGAAACTTGATGTTTACAATAATACCAAGCCACATAACATTATCATCTTTCCAAAGTCAAAGATGAACAAATTATTTTAGCTTATCCAATTTTACCAAGCAACTTTCAAAAAATTACAATCTTGCCACTTTGATCCAATGGTCCAAATTAAACATGGAAATAAATCTTCAAATCCAATGATCCATATTATTTTCCATCATTTTAAAATGTGGAAATAATATTTCTAAGATTAATTTAGCATCCTTCAAAATTTTCTCGAAATTTCTATTTAATCCGATTTACCGAACTTTAACACTTTCTAGTTTTTAACATAATTTCCAGATCAAGAATCTGATTTCAATAAAACTCCACTCTCAAGAGTAAAATATCCATTTATGGAATAAAAATTCTTTTTAGGAAAATCACCACTTAAGTCCCTAATCTTTTCCTAATTTTTTACTTTGACCGCCAAACTTTCAAATTTTACATTTTGGTCACTATCCAAAATTTTGGGATATTACAACTACTCGAACCCAGAATTTCTAAGGAGAACAACACTCCCCTTAACCACTGAGACCACTTCATGTTTTCAAAATATTTTTGTGGATTGATTTTTCAAGTTTTAGTCGAGCCCCTCTATTTTACATAATATGTATAACACATATGAAACAATATGAAGAAATATGTATATCGTATATATGGTTATAGAAATACATTTAAAGTGAAGTCAAATAGAATCATGACATTATAAATATTTATAATTATATTTAAACATAAAATCAAATAACCCTACTTAACTCAAGTCAAAAAATTTCAAATAAAGTTCAATTTATAAAATAAGATTCATTAACTTGAATAGCTCAAAAAAAAAATTCGATTTGATGTGATCGAATACTCACCCCTAATAATAACCAACAGTAAAACCAATAAATTGAAATTCCATAATCCATCGAGTTGTTTCCCCAATTCATAAATAAGAAAACTTACTCAAAACGACATTATTTTTACAACCTTTCAATTCTTGTTAACATAACCGAAACTCCATCTATATATTTAGGTTTATCTTAAAATATATTATTTTTATTTAGATAAAATATATTATTTTTATTTATATATTTAGATATAAAAATGATATATTTAGAATACTTTTCTGTTCAAACTTTAAGAATACCATGAGGAGAGTGCACAAGGAAAAGCTTTTTAAGCGTATTTTAATTTTCATAGTATAATTTTACTTTCCGAATAAATGTATGAAAACTATAAATCATGCGGTTAAGTTCATTTTTTTGAACGAGCATGTGAACTCGATGACATGAGGTTAGGATTTATATGTTGAACAAAGCATGGGGTAGAAAACATGTCTGGGTAGAACTGTTATAAAAGTATGTCAAGGTAGATACCATGTTGGGTAGGATCTTTTCTTTTCATAAATATCTTTTCTGTTTTTTTGGTTGACTCGTACTAACAATTTCTTTTGTTTTATTTTATTTTTGTCTTTTGTGTGCATTTTTATTTTCAATTGATCTCCACTTTCGAAAAGCCTTCGTTCAAGGGTTATTAGTGCTTCAATCCAAGTGAAAGGAACACAAATTCTCTAATTAAAGTGTTAGTTTTTTCTTTAACTGGAAATATATAAATATTGTGCCTCTCTAAAATTCTTTAAATAGATTATATATTTTTATTTTTAGGGAATAAAAGGATCATTAATGAATATTCAAATTTTTTAATTTTTAATATAGGGACAAATTCATAAGTGAATGTACCAATTTTTTGGTGTTGTCGGGGTATTAATCTTTCTTCAAGCGTAATTGACTCCCGAATCCTATAATCTATGAATCGCAGGCCATATCACGCCTTCTTAAATTTTTTATTTAAAAGGGTGAATCATGGGTTTTTAACCTACCTAATCCAAAAGGTTGATGGTGATTCCAAACGTTTAAGATATTTTCTAAAATTTCGACTTTCAATCCCGATTTCTAAATTTATTCCATATTCACACTCCTAAAAAAAGTCGTTGCGACAATATATAATATGTATTACAAATAAAATTAAAATATATTTAAAATAATATAACATTATTAAAAGATTAACATCTTAAAATGAATTTAACATTTCATAATTTACTCACATTTAATTTGAAAATTTTATGTTTCAAAAAAATTATTTTTAATAATTTAATGTTATTTAATTAAAATATTAAAATTAATTTACGAGGGACAAGTGTCACCATCTGATTGATGGAAAATTTTATTCAATTAAAATATTAAAATTAATTTTAAAAACTCTCCAATCGGGTGTTAACATGTGGCACCTCCGGATTGAAGAGCTAATTTTTAAATTAAATTAAAATTAGGACTAAATTGATAGAGTCTATAAGTATTAAGGACTAAATTTATAATTATATCAATTTTGTTAACTAACATGTCACCATCTCTGTTAAAAGTTAACTGCCAATTACTTGACTAAAGCATTTAAATAGTTAGATGATCTAATTGATGAAATTGAAATATCGATGGTCAAAATGAAAGGAAGTTGTAGTTGAATGGTCACTCGTGTAATTTTTAAATTAATATAATTTTTAAAAAGAAAAATAATATAATATAGCATTATTTAAAAAATTAACATCTTAAAATGAATTTAACCTTCATAATTTACTCACATTTAATTTAAAAATTTTATGTTTCAAAAAAGAATTAAATTTTTATTTTTTAATATATTTTTAAATTATAATATTGTAATTAAATTTTTTCTGTTTCATACTTTATTTATAGCCGCCAAAAAATACACTTGCTAAAATTATAAAGGTCGGACACTACCAGGGACAAAAAAACACGAGGACAGGAACATCTGACTCTTCTAGACCACTGCTTTCGCTCAGTTGTTAGCAATGGAGGAAGCCGTAGTTCTTTACCCATCACCGCCGATTGGCCACGTCATAGCCATGGTGGAGTTAGGCAAGCTCCTCCTCACTCATCAACCTTCTATTTCAGTCCACATCCTCATCGCCACCCCTCCCTACCAGGCTGATTCCACCGCTCCTTACATCGCCGCCGTCTCCTCCACCGTTACTTCCATCGTTTTTCACAAGCTCCCCAAAGTCATCCTCCCTCCATCCCCCACTGTCACCCACCACGAGTCCCTTACTTTTGAAGTCCTCCGCCTTAACAACCCTAACGTCCTCCAAGCTCTCCTTTCCATCTCCAAGGATTACAAGGTACGTGCCTTTATCATGGATTTTTTCTGCACCGTTGCTTTCCAAGTGGCCTCCGGTCTTAATATACCTCCTTATTTCTTCTTCACCTCCGGCGTTTCCTGTCTTTCCTCTTTCCTTTATCTACCGACCCTTCATAACAAGACCACCAAAAGCTTCAAAGAACTCAAAGTTCTCCTCAACATCCCAGGCTTGCCACCGGTACCATCTGCAGATATGCCAAAGCCAGTGCTCGATCGAAATGATGAAGTATATGAGATCTTCTTAAACAACTCCACCTACTTACCCAAGGCAGCTGGGATTATAATCAACAGTTTCGAATCCCTCGAGTCGAGAGCCATGGAAGCACTTAGCCATGGGCTCTGTGTGCCAAATGGCCCTACACCTCCCCTATATTGCATCGGACCCTTGATTGCCGACATTGATAGGAGAAGTGGAGTTAATTCCTGTGATGGCGTCCCTGATTGCTTATTGTGGCTCGACAAGCAGCCTAGTAAAAGTGTAGTGTTTCTCTGTTTTGGTAGTCTGGGATTGTTCTCGGTTCAACAGTTGAAGGAAATAGCTGTGGGGTTAGAGAGAAGTGGGCAAAGGTTCTTGTGGGTGGTGAGAAACCCACCGTCGGAGAACCTAAGTGTGGCTATCAAGGAACAGGCGGAACCAGATTTGGAGGCCTTGTTACCCATGGGATTCTTGGACCGGACCAGGGACATGGGAAAGGTGGTGAAGTCATGGGCACCACAGGTGACGATGTTGAACCATGAATCGATAGGTGGGTTCGTGACTCACTGCGGCTGGAACTCTGTGCTGGAATCTGTTTGCTCTGGAGTTCCGATGGTGGCGTGGCCCCTCTACGCAGAGCAAAGGTTCAACCGAGTGTTGCTAGTGCAGGAAATGAAGATAGCGTTGCCGATGGTGGAGTCGGAGACGGGGTTCGTGGATTCAAGTGAAGTGGAGAAGGGAGTTAGAGAACTGATGGAGTCAGAACAAGGTAAATTGATTAGGGAGCGAACCATAGCAATGGAACACGATGCCATGGCTGCTATGAGGGAGGGAGGTTCATCTCGTCTAGCACTAGCTAAGCTTTTTGAGTCGTGGAAGAAGGGATAATGGCAGAATTGTGGCAAGATTCTAATGACAAAACAAATAACGTATGTATCAAACTTAATCTTGGAGCATCGAATATTTGATGATATATTTTCTTTGAAGATGGTTAATTTTGTTCCTTCTTTGCCTTCTAATTTACTTTAGAATTAGAACTAAAACCTGAAGTGTAAGGTGTCCAGGCTAAGCTTCCAAATTAACATGATGGCAACCACGGGCGGTTGTTTTGGCGGAATCGTACCTGATTTTCATATATATCTATATTATATTACATTATATTATAGATTCCATATCTTTATAAATTATTGGCTCTCCGTCAGTTGAGAGCCCTAGACAGACTCCATCTCCAGAGTTCTTAAGAATCTTCGACTTCCGGAACGAGTGTCGTTAACCTCCAGGGAGATTACAACGTATAAACAAAACCTCTAGACATAATCTTTAATAGACCCACGTGATTTATCGGAGGGAAATTAAAGGTCTGGCTACCAAATTTATCTAACATCTATGAATAGTCATATTAGCCTTATACGTGACGATGTTAACTAGAACCACACAAATATTCCTCGAATACAACCGAATGCAACCAACAAAAGGCTCAAGACTTTCCTTCTCCCTTCTTTATCTCTTCTCAATGTCTATAACCTTAACTTAAAAAACACCGACAGACAGTCATTACTTCGTTGATCATGACTCTCTGTTTAAATCAGAAGAGGTAAATCGCCAACTGTTGACAAAATCAACTTCTTACCATAAAAATTAGAGTGGTGTGCAAGGAAAAACATCACGACCGAGATAATCGCTCGAGATCTCTCCCAAAAAGTCAAAACAATCATCCTCATCTATGAACGGTCCACTGAAGTAGGCTAGAGAAGCACGTAACGAGGAGAAGACGGGGAAAAGAAAAGTAAAAGCAACGCCGCCCTGCTTTTATCAAAAGGGCTTCAATTGCCTTCCTAGTTCAGACCCGACATACCTCTGCCTTCCCAGAGGTTCAAACATATAAATGGAGAGGTCGTGTTACAACAGTCCACACTGGTTTGGGAGCATCAGACGCTAATGTCTCACAGTGGCTATGGACAGATTGGGAGGCCAATTAGCGTGTTGGATAAAGCACCCTAGGAGTCATGGGGAGTCACATCTTGGACAATGACGTCTACGAGGGCAACATGCAAGCTTCAACAACGGCCCTCATCCTTGTCTCACAAGTAGGTAATAAGATTATCAAGTACTAACATGTTTCTAGCAGGAATACCTCCGTGTAAAACTGCGAGAAAACTGTCAATGTACACCCTAATCAAGTATCTAGAAAAACCTTCTCCTATGGAAGCATGTAATTTTTAAACAGTTAATGCATGCCAATATTTTTGGTATCTTCGTTTGAGCACCGAGTCTCCTAGAACAATTCCTATTATCCTCCTCCATGTTGTCATGACGTTGAGTTGCTTTCATAGTGGGAATTTCCCTAATCTATGGTTAAAAGAGCATCAAGCTACATCCGGTTCGAGGTTGAAATGTCTATACTCACTGGTAAAGACGGGATACCTCCCAACGTGAGAGAAGCCACCACCCACTAATTGCAGAAATTGTGACTTGCATTTGTACATGCTAACCGTGAGTTGCCTTCGAAGGGTGTTGATTTTCCTTTACCCAGGATTACGGTCACGAAATAGCCCGAGGGATCAAGATGCCTCCACTTCAATGTTGAGATTCATTTTCTCTATTCTGAAAAAGATTTCTTAGTTTGACTTGCGGTATATTGTACGCGTAAAGATGCTTATGTACCCACTGCAATGCGCTACCACAGCCTGAATAGCCTCCTATACCTGGATGAATAACATTAAGATGTGTCATGCTCCACTCAGACATGCAAGATCATGTCCTAAAACCAACCAAAAGAGTTTAGAGCCTCTGCTCTAGCATTAAGATGCAGTTCCTTTGTTTTTACCGTGACAAAAATGCCTTAGTTTACCTGCAATATATGGTATGCGTTGAGATGCCTGTGCACCCACGACAGTGTGTTACCGTAGACTGAGAAACCTACCTACTCAAACAGTGTTGAGATGCTTCTCTCTATGGGAGTATGTCCCGAAACTGACCAAAATATTTGAGAGCCTTCACTCCAATAGAGTGTCGAGATGCACCCATGCCAAAACTATTGAGATATCTCCAAGAGCCCGATTTATGTAGGGATTCCCCTCATTCTTTCTTATATGCCATAGAGCTACCTTCAAAAAGTGTCGAGATACCTCCTCTATGGTGTTGAGATATCTTTGCATCCGAAATAGAGGGCTTCTTCATTTGATTTAACCTTGTATGTTTGTGGCGTTTTTCCTTCAAATAAATTATCCACTTTTCGATTATAGAGGAGGTAGATTCAAGATTATTACCGATGAAATGAAGGGCTTATTCATTTGCTTCCTATCCCAAAGGTTCAAGGACAGAATCTCGTATTCTTTTTCAAAAATATTTTCTTCAATATGAATATGAATAATTCTTCATTATTTTTAGGTGTATGAACTTGGGAACTCATTAAATTTTTTTCTCTTCGGTTGAAAAGGAAATCCATTGGAATCATGTAAACTGGAGGAGGAATCTGGTCAAGATCCAAGAGTAAGATGATGACATGGGAAAGTTAATATGAATTTGGGAGGCTTATTACAGGTCCTTCAAGCTCTTTGTGTAGTCTTGGTAATCCGTGAAGCCTGAAGGCTTTAATTGGGTCTAAAGGACGTTTGGATCTTTCTTAAGATGTAAACCCTCTCACTCAATAAAGATATCAGTATTGTTAGAGTATGTTCAAAAAAACAATCATCAGATAATTGTAATGACATATTTACTTTTACCTTTTTATTAATATAGTGCATTACATTATTATTTCAGTTGCTATTTTGTGTATATAAATAAACTAAACTATAATATAGTTATGAGAATAATATGATTATTATTAAAGATCCTCGGTCAAGTATTATTGTGGGTTTGGACAACAATAATGCATTAAGACTAATGTATAATTGACTAATGAAAAAGTGTTGTTATTGACATAAAGATTCAAAATCAATACAAAGGTGTGTGCTACAGGATAAAATATTTGACTAGCTCACTATGAGTATGTTTTATTAGATTATCATGTGAGAGTCACAACATTGCTTATAGTGATAACTATATACATTGTTACATGTCATTCATTATTTGTAATATTAGAATTATTTTAGATATTACTGCTAACATTACATGAACTTAAAAAGGTCACATCCTATGATTGAAACAAATATTATTAACCAGAATACATGTGTACACATTTATTACGCAAAAATAAGATATTTAGTTAAAATTAATATATGTATTTGCTACATATTATATTATAATTATTATAATTATAAATAATTATTTATATATGAGGGATATATTATTTTAATTATAAAACTCTTTAAATATATATGATAAAACCTAATCGGACTTGAAAAAGATTTTTATATTTAAAAGGGAGGTAAATACAATTTATAATTTAATATTCAATTTAAAATGATATATATCTAATAAAATTTAATTAGAGTTGAATTTATTTTTTAAAGACTATATAAAGGCATAAGGTCTAGTAGTCGTAATTATGTCTAATGTGTTAAACTCTCTAACAGTTAGAGAATTCAAATTGTTCGTTTCAATTGGATGGATTACGTAGAGGTCGAGACACTACTGTAACGATTTTGGAATCTACATCGTGTGAACGGAATCAAATTCAAAACACAACTCTACAATTTCATATTGATATTTTCCATATTTTTAATAGGTAATTCTTCATCTTTTTACCTCGATTTCTTCCTCATAAATAGATCTCTGGAGGAGTGATGCAGGGGATCCGAGACAGATGATGTTGAATTGTCAGATTGCACCTTGATAGCGCTGAGATATCATAAATTGGCAGATCAGCGCAAAGGCGGGAATTGATTGTGACATGTTCCTCATTGGGGTCGTTTTGAGTATGTTTCAGTCTTTTGGCCATAACTTTGGCTATAGGTGTCAGAATCGCGCATAAGACCCCAATCCGGAAAGCTCTTTTCGACGCGCACGCTCTCCACATTGAGCTACACTCCATATGACCTTTTTTTCAACCTCAAATTCTGCCGTTTTTCCCCTCCGAATCATTAGAATTAGATATTTTTTACTATTTATGGTAATATTTCGATTGTCAATTAGGAAGTCAATTTAAATCCGATTTAGGCCGGATTTTTTGGAGATTGCTTATTTTATTTCGAATTTCAATTTAGAGTGATTTTCGGGATTTTGCTATTTTTGGCAAAATTCGAATAAAGACGATTTTTGGCTATAACAGTCCGGCTTGTGGACTGATTTTGGCATTGTTTGATTTGATAATATTTTATTAAACCCTAGAGACTTTTTCTCTGGATTTTTTTGGGCGAATTTTCTCTTGTGAATCATCTGTTGGAGCGCTTGCAGGATAATCACTATTCTGTCTGGCGTCAAGGAGATTACCGAATTAATTTTTCAATTCTGTCATGGGATATATCGACGATCACAAAAAGTATCCAAATCCTTGGATGAATCAGAATTTTTTGAAGAGGAACTAATGCCTACAAACTTCTTTGTATGGAGTTTCAAGGGATCTAATGCAGCTTCAGAAGCTGGCATGATAATTAATTGTGTTTACTAGATTGGATTTAAAGGATCTTGAGAGATGCAAATATCATGTAACGACATAAATTTTTGAGTCACATGCGAGCATTGATCTGAGTCATAGGTGGATCAATTAGTAAGCATGATTAGATTCGTTAGATAAAAGTATGGGCCTAATCATGTAAGAATTAGGCTAATTGATAATAAAAAAAAAGGATCTTTGAATAAAGAATGAAAGACGGGGGATTGGGAGTGTAATGACCTATTTAAGAAAAACTTGGCTTAAACTAGGGCTGAGCAACGAAGTTGAGAAAACCGAAAAATCGATCTGAACCGAGCTATGTGGTTTGATTTGGTTTGAGCTATGTGGTCCGAATATATAAATGGAGAGCTCGTGTTGTAACATTGCACATTGGTTTGGGAGCATCAGATGCTAATGTCTCACCGTGGCTATGGACAGCTTGGGAGGTCAGTTAGCGTGTTGGAGAA